TGAGAAAGGAGATGTCAGCCATCTGGCCCAACCTGTCACAGAAGACCCTGGATCTGCTTGTCACTCCTCACAAGTGTAAGTTCCCAGGACACTGTATCACCCTTCGGTAGAGAGAGCAGTTTTCTGCTGCTCACCGCTCACTGCCCACATCTCACTGCCCACTGCCCACATCTCACTGGTCACTGCCCACATCTCACTGCCCACTGCCCACATCTCACTGGTCACTGCCCACATCTCACTGCCCACTGCCCACTATCCACTGCCCACATCTCACTGTTCACTGCTCACTGCCCACATCTCACTGCCCACTGCCCACATCTCACTGCCCACTGCCCACATCTCACTGCCCACATCTCACTTTTCACTGCCCACTGTCCACATCTCACTGCCCACTGCCCACTATCCACTGCCCACATCTCACTGCCCACTGCCCACTGTCCACATCTCACTGCCCACTGCCCACTGCTCACATCTCACTGGTCACTGCTCACTGCTCACTGCCCACTTCCCACTGCCCACTGCCCACTGCCCACTGCTCACTGCCCACTGCCCACATCTCACTGCCCACTGCCCACTATCCACTGCCCACATCTCAGTGCTCACTGCCCACTGTCCACATCTCACTGCTCACTGCCCACTGCTCACATCTCACTATCCACTGCCCACATCTCACTGCCCACTGCCCACATCTCACTGCCCACTGCCCACATCTCACTGGTCACTGCCCACTGCCCACATCTCAGTGCCCACTGCTCACTGCCCACTGCTCACATCTCACTGGTCACTGCCCACATCTCACTATCCACTGCCCACATCTCACTGGTCACTGCCCACTGCCCACATCTCAGTGCCCACTGCTCACTGCACACTGCTCACTGCCCACATCTCACTGGTCACTGCCCACATCTCACTGCCCACTGCCCACTGCTCACTGCCCACTGCCCACCTCACTGCCCACTGCCCAGTCACAGTGCTGGTAAATCCTGGCAGCGGGAGTCCCAGTGTGGCACTTGGTGCCCGAGCCTGGCTGCGGCCTTGTTGCGGCCAGCCCCATCTCCTGCTCCAGGGCCCATCTCGCCCCCCGTCATCGTCCAGGGTAACTTGTCTCTCCTCCCGGCAGCGACGGACCTGACTGTGGGGAAGATCTACGCGGCCATGATGATCATGGAGTACTACCGGCAGAGCAAGGCCAAAAAGCTGCAGGCTCTCCGGGAGGAGCAGGTACTGCCGTAGCGACGATCACTCGCACAGCCGCAGAACAAGCTAACTGCATTCAGCAAATTCTCCTCCTGCTGTCAGAGCTGTAACAAAGAGGACCACTCCCCGCCCTCCAGATCCCAGCGGATTCTCCCAGCACATCCCAGTCCCCAGAGGGTTGCGCCTGATCCCAGCACAGTCCATCTCCCTTCCGGCACAGAATTCCCCGCCCCAGTCCCAGCAGGATCCCCCTGCCCTGGCCAACTCCCAGCCGAATCGTCCAGTGGTCCCTCCGAAGTCCAAATGCTCACCCCACTTGCAGCGGAGTTCACCCCAGCTCTCCCAGCAATTTGCCGGCAGAATTCCCTGATCCGTGCGAGCCTGTTAATCCCGGAGTTTTCCCCAGCTGGTAGGACAGGTGTCCATCACAGCGGGAGGAAGAGGCACCACGGGGGACCGGCGCCCCCCTGCTGTCACCCCGGAGAAGAGATGGCCTCGGTTTGGCCTGTCGGCATTCCCAGTCTCTCCTCGGATCAGCAGGCTTCCTGGCTTCATCTGCCCCCTGGCTCTCGAACTCCAGCCAGGCCTTGCCCCCTGCACGCAGCCCGAGGATCAGTCCAAGCTCCCTGACGCAGAGGGGCGCAGTTCGGGGGTGAGGGACTGGATTAGAATAAGGACTGAGGTGACTTGTAGGAGGATTAGGGGTTCAGGGTCACGCCCAGTACTGGGAGTCAGGATCAATGTCAGAGGAACTTAGGAATTGGGGTACGGGGGTGATGAGCAGGTTAGGGGGCAGAGGTGGGATCGCTGGGGCGAAGCCTCACCCTGATCTTAACTCCAGAGCAGCCCGACGCTGAGAGGGAGGAACCGTGACAGCCGCTCCAGGGCCAGGAAGTCGAACCCAGGGCCAGGGGCCGTCTCTTTGTTACAGCTCTCCCAGGCACCTCTGAACCTGCTGTGCTTCCATTTCCAGCTCCCTGATGTCCAGCCCTCATTCCTCCCCCCTCTCCTGCCATGACTGTGTCCCGGACTGTAGCCCTCCTCCCTCCTGCCCGCCTCCCTCTGGGGCTCCTGTCGCCCTGTGCCGCCCACTGAGAACCTGTACATATGTAGCCTGACGGTTTGTAAACCTTTGATTTGAAACGTTCAAGTGAAGTAAAATAGAATCGAGTCAGAACCAGATCTGAGGTGCTGAGCCTTCTTCTTCCTTTTGGGTTCCTGGTGCCCCCTGTGGCAACACGAGTCTTCCTGTGCTGCACTTACCCCTCTGCTGTAACGTCGGTGTGTCCCCGAGACCCCCGCCCCCCGCTGGTGGGGTCCGTTCTGTTCTGGGGCAGCGTCGTGAGAGGCAGCCCGCAGGACCGCGTGACCCAGGCAGAGCGCCGATCCACCCCCCCACCCGACGGGGTTAAAAACGCCTCCTTTCACCCCTGTTTTGGTCCCCCTTGGCCTTAGCAGCATCTCTGGGGTAACCCCCACTTCAGCACTAATATTCCCCTGTCTCCATTCGTCCTGTTCAAGAGGCAGCCTTCCAGATTTGGGATGGGGAGGGAGCCGAGAGGGAGGCTCTGTCTGGGTCCGCAGTCCCAGGCGCCAGACCAAGGACGTCAGTTTTAAAGCAACACTCCACACAAAACTGTCTGCAACACTGGCTGTGTCTCTGTTCATGACCTCCAGTCCTCTGGAGGAAGGGTGCGTCTTTGAGCAGCAGGGGTGTAGGTGGGTGGGGAGGCAGAGGACAGGGACGTTGTGATGTATGACATCACACTTTGAGCCAGAGTGGCATCACACATTGAACCACAGTGACATCACACTCCAATCCAGAGTGACATCACACATTGAACCACAGTGTCATCACACTTCAATCCAGTGTGACACCACACTTCAATCCAGTGTGACATCACACTCCAACCCAGAGTGACATCACACCTTGACCCAGAGTGACATCACACTTCAATCTAGAGTGACCTCACACTTCGACCCAGAGTGACGTCACACTTTGACCTGGGCCTGTGGCTCTTTGATTCAAGATTTCATACCTTTGTTCCTTCATGACACTTCTGCACATGACCAGCCTGACCTGTCCTGATGAAATAGAGGCTCTGCAGGCCATTGGACAGGTTGGAGATCAATCCCCAAAACAGAGAATGCTAGGCGCCCTGCTCGATCTTCCCTGTGGGTCCTGTATCGGGTCAAGGGTCGCACTAGCTACACCCCCTCTCCCAAGTCTGACTGCAGCTTTCCGTCGAGGAGCACCTGAATGCTCTGCAGGAGTCCCCTCTCCCCCTCCCTCCTCTCTCCCCCTTCTCTTTCTCTCCTGAACTTCATGCTGGAAGAGTGTTGCATTCCTGTCCCTGAAGTCACCCGCCACCATCAGACTAACACACCCACCACAGTCACGCGCACCAGCTCCTACCTCCATTCTGCCTTCACATATTCCAGTCGGCCGCCATGTCGAAACAGCCAGGCGTTAGCCAGCCGGCCAGACACCACAGTCCGGTACCTTCCACTGAAATGACCGGTTTTCCTGGGTCAGTCTGCCAGCAGCTGAGACCGGCTGTGGTGGATCTACCGGACCACAGGTCAAATGACTGCTGAATTACTGGAATGAACCGAATCAGTCGCACTGGCGAGCAACCTGGACTGGTCACTACGGGGCCCACTGGAGCACAGCACCCCCTGCTGTGAACTGCGGGATCTGCACGTCTCCTCAGTGCCGGATCTTGGAAAGCCTGCCAGGAAGTGAAATGGGATGAACGTCTCCGCTTGCTGCTGTTGTTTTTTTGGGCTGGGGAGAAGCAGGGGGAGAATATGGTGGCCTGCAGTGCCACTGCCGCTGTTAAACTGTTCATCTACAATGATGTCGACCAGGGCTGCTGGAATCTTGGAAAAGACACAAACACAGGGCTACTGTCTGTAACAGAGCTCAGTGTTGACGAGTAAAACCAAGGCAATGTGTGTCTGTAAACCCCCAGAGAAGGAGAGAGACAGGCTAGTGGGGCCATGCTCCAGTGAGGACAGACAGAGCAGAGCTGGGTGACGATCTGACGCACAGACAGACAGTAACACACACAGACAGACACACAGACACACAGACACAGACAGACAGACAGTAACACACACAGACAGACACACAGACACAGACAGACAGACAGAAACACACAGACAGACAGTAACACACACAGACAGACACACAGACACACAGACACAGACAGACAGATACACAGACAGACAGACAGACAGACAGACAGACAGGGTTAGAATGAGGTCCCAGCACACAGCAGTTCCCAGCCGGGTTTGGGGAGAGCTGTGCTCTGCTAGGGTGTCACAGTGAGCAGAGGCCCTGAGAAAGAATGAAGCATCTCTGCTCATTAATCACAGAGGTTTGTGAAGCGAAGGACCTGAGTGCCAGGGTGGGCAGCTCGAACCCTGGGCCTCTGCAGTGCTGTGGGACATGAGCCCTGGACGCTAGACTCCCGCTCTCCGCTCCTGTGGCAGCCCACGGGCCTGGGGTCAGGACGCAGACCAACAGCTTGACTGGCTCAGACCACAGCGCAGCAGGAGTATGGACAACGCAGACTCAGCCCTGCTGCTCCCTCACAGCCGGGCTCTGACCAATGGCCTCTGACCTCTGACCTCTGACCTCGGCCTGGGAGCCCACCTCCAGAGGCTCTGGCCTCTACCTGTTCCTCCCCCCCATCTCTGCCCCCACCCGTCTCACCTGTCCCTCAGAGGGCCGCTGGGATACGCAGGGCAAGTCTTTCCTGTCCTGCTGTGAGCTGCAGCCGAACAGGAAGTAGAGAGAAGATGAGCAAGAAGACAGGACGCCGATTTTGCAGATGCTGAGGCATCCCAGAACGGGTCACGGATCAGGATCGGGCAGGACATGAGGGGCTCCGTAACGGCATGGGGATCGGCTAAGAGTGGGGTCACTCCATGCTGCGCCTCTCCCCTCCAGGACTGTGCAGCTCTCCTTCCATTGGGCTCCCCACCCCATCGCTCAGCCTGTCCAGTAGGGGGCAGTGCTGCCCTTTCCCGGCTCTTCCCGGCGTGTCCCAGATTCTTTTTTCTCCTTTCTTTGATTTTTTTCTTCTCCTGGTTTAACCACTTTGCTGCTAGAGGTCTGGGTCAGCAGGTGTGCTTGGGTTTGCCCTGGCGGGGCACAATTTCGGCACAGTGGGGTGAAGGGGCGGGCAGTGGCAGGTCCTGATTCCCCCAGGGGGGCTGCCAGGCCCCCGGGGGGGGGCCGCACCACCTGCGGTTCAGCACAGCAGGACTGGTAACTGAGCCAGGGTCTGGTCTCCCTGATATTTCTGCAAGGGCGGGTCGCTGCAGGCTCAGTTCTGGCCCACTGTGGTCGCAGCTCTGCCTGGCACGGGCCTGTGATCCTGTCCTGCCCTGCTCCAGGAGCAGCTCCTGGCTGAGGATCCGGGCCAGCCCAGCAGTGTGGTAGGAGCTGTTTCGGGCCAGGGTGTGTAGGTGATGGCCCGCACACATTCCCGGGAACGCCAGTATCCCCCCCCACCTCCTCCTCCTCCACGGATCCCCACACTCCCAAACCTGAGTGAAGCGTGAATCCAGACCCGCCACACCGCTGCCCTCACCCCAGCACCCCATTGGTTACTCCTGTCCGTGCACTGCTCGGGGGGCAGCGGGCACCCCCCCCCCGGACTCCAGACGGCGCGGGCGCGAGGACTGCATGCGGACCCCAGACGCCGCAGGACCCCCAGTTCCCACAGTGCCTCCCGGCCGGCCCCGCGGTCGCCCCGCAGCCGGCGGAGCCCCCATTTGCACTCTGGATGTTGTGACTCCATTTCCCATAAGTCTGTCTGATACCAGCTGTAGGCCATGTTGTATCTCACACAGAATCGAACGCCATTAATGTTTCAGCGCATGGAGCCCCCTTCCCCACCCCAGGACGCTGGGCAGGGAGTCAACAGTCTGCCAGAACCACAGCAAGACCCCTCCGGCAACCTGTAAGTAGCCTTCTCCCGTCTGTGTCCCGGGTGCCCAGGTCCCGATCTCGGGGTGCTGCCCCGGCCCTCCTGTCCAGTTTTCTGCCGCAGCAGCTTCTTTCCAGGGAATGAAAGAAGGGCGCAGGTGCCGAGGGTTTAATTGCTCGTGCTGGAGGTGGGAAGGCCAGCTTCGTGGAGCTGAGACAGCTGCCTCCTTCTTGACATGAAGCTGTACAACGGTCCAGCTCGCGGGAGATAATAATAATAATAATAATAATAATAATTACTTACACTTATATAGCGCTTTTCTGGACACTCCACTCAAAGTGCTTTACAGGTACTGGGGATCCCCTCCACCACCACCAATGTGCAGCCCCACCTGGATGATGTGACAGCAGCCATAGTGCTCCAGTACACTCACCACACACCAGCTCTCAGTGGGGAGGAGAGCAGAGTGATGAAGCCAGTTCAGACATGGGGGTTATTAGGAGGCCATGATTGGTAAGGGCCAATGGGAAATTTTGGCCAAGACGCGGGGGTTACACCCCTAGATTCCTGTCCCCCCCCCGTCCTGCGAGTGCGGCAGGCGGGGAGCTGCTCCCGCTGGGATCCTGCTCCCCCGGAGGCGCGGTGCTCAGGGCAAGCTGCCTGCTGCGCGGGGCTCCCCCAGACATACTCGAGAGGGGTTCGAGTTTGGGGGTTCACACACACCCACCCCGGTGTTTCAGCTTCATAGCTGGTGTGCTTTAGAAAGCAAAAGGGGCCTTAACACAGCCCCCCCAGCTGCTGCAGGCTACGATGACAGACGCGCTCGTCACGAACAGTCTGCTCTGTCAATAGCTGGTCAGCCATGCTGCTCTCCTGCACCGCAGCCAGACAAACCCCTTTCTCGAAACAGACCAGACCCTGCAAACCTCCACTTCCTGGTTTGAAATCATGTGACGAAGGAAGGCAGGTCCTTCCAGAGCTTTGTGGGAAATGTAGTTCGGACGAGAGTCGCCATCTTGCCTGAACCCACCGTCTTCTCACTCGGCCTCTGGACAACGGGAATGGGGGAACGAAAAGGAACCGCTTTGCAGTCTTTTCTGTGGAGTGCAGACGTGTGCTTGCGTGTGAGCCTGTGTGTGCCGCGCGAGTTTAAAAACAGGGCCCAGGTTCAGGACAAGTGCCAGCAGTGCCCCCATCCCTGCCCTGGGGAGCAGTGGAGAGTGGCGCCACCCTGCAGGACAGTGCAGGCTCCGTCTAACCCCCTTCTCTTTCCCCCAACCCCTTTGTCCACAGCCCCCAGCAAGGGGGGATGACGGAGAGCCAGTCGTGGGTGACAGCCAGGGCGCAAGAAATGTTCCAGAAGGCAGGAAGCTGGAGCCCGGAGAGGCCTCATCCTGACGACGTGCACAACAGCCGGCACAACCCGCAGGTAGAGCCACGGACGGCTGTAGGCGCGTCCGCTCAGAGGGCCACGGGAGCTGGAAAAACACTCACACAGACCTTCCGCTAATCCTCTCCTGGGGAGGGGGGACAGGGCTTTGCTGAGGGGCGCTCAGGCCTGCCGCGAATCGAGCTGCTCGCCTCCATCTGTCTGGTTCCCCGCTTCATCCCCATCTACAGGCAGACGTCAGCAGAGCCGAGCTCCCTCCCCCCCGGGAAAAGGGGCCGCCTGTCCCTCCGTTTCCCCACCCCCCACCCACTCCGGTGGGATTCCATACACCACCCTCACCGTCACTCTGTCTCTCTCTCTGTCTGTCACTCTCACTCTCACTCTCACACTCGCTCACTCTCGGAGTCGGGGCCCAGTCCACTGTCCCCTCAGCTCATGTCACTCCATGGCCACTCCTCGCCCCCTGCTGGGGCTCCCCCGGCCCAGCCCCATGCCCGCCGACACAGGCACGTCCAGGAGGTAGCCCCCCCAGCGCAGCTCTCTCTCGGAAAACCAGAGCCCCCTGGCTGCCCTCTCTCAGAACAGGGGTGCTCCTCTGTTGTCAGCAGCTGGGTGGCGCCATTGGCACCCCGAGAACAAGCTACAAGCAGAATCGCAAAGAAGGCCCCCCAAGGCTCTACTGCTGCCCCACCTGCAGCTCGTAACATCTGCACCACCACGGACTTAAAGACACCCCAAAACTGATCCACAGACACCCCACAGACACACTCTGTCTCCAGTGATATCCCAGTACTGATCCACAGACACTCTGTCCCCACTGATACCCCAGTACTGATCCACAGACACACTCTGTCTCCAGTGACACCCCGATACTGATCCACAGACACACTCTGTCCCCAGTGATATCCCAGTACTGATCCACAGACACACTCTGTCCCCAGTGA